TGTGCAACGGAGTCTCGCTCTGTTACCGAGGCTGGAGTGTAGTGGAGCGATCTTGGCTCAATGCAACCACCGCCTCCTGGGTTTAAGTGATTCTCCTGCCTGAGCCTCCCGAGTAGCTGGGATTACAGGCATGAGCCACCACATGCAGCTAATTTTTGTATTTTTAGTAGAGGCGGGGTTTCACCATGTTGGCTAGGCTGGTCTTGAACTCCTGACCTCAAGCGATCTGCCTACCTCAGCCTCCCAATGTGCTGGGATTCCAGGCGTGAGCCACCGTGCCTGGCCATGACCTGTATCTTGTATGACCTCCTGTCTCATCCTGTGGCTTAGAATGCCTAACTATCTGGGAATGCAGCCCAGTAGGTCTCAGCCTCATTTTATCCAGCCCCTATTCAAGATGGAGTTGCTCTGGTTCACACACCTCTGACAAACAGGCAGGGTTGTATTCCAATAAAACTTTATTTACAACAAAAGGTGTAGGCTGTTGTTTGCCAGGCTGTTCCGCATCAGTCAGGAATCTTCCTTTTCCCAAAGTTTTGCTCTAGCCATCCTCCCCGGGCCCCCTCTGCCCTGCCTGCCTCACCTCCTGACTGGCTCTCTGTATTTTCTCTGTGGGTTCCTTGGTGCACGTGTAATTAGCTGGACTAATTACACGTGTAATTAGAGTGACCAACTGTGTTGGTCACTCCTGCTCCTTCAAGAGGGTCTGAGTTCCTCCCATCACAGGGACACGGATGGCACTGATAACCCCTGGATGAGTGGGAGCCAGTGCCAGCTTGCCCCAGGCTGGCTTGCTGTCTGCATGGGGCGGCCCAGCATCTCCTTGGTGGCATTCCAGGTCTTCATGGACATTCACAACGGCAGCTCGGGCTTTGAGCATTCTGGACGCATCCTGATGGGACCCACATCTCTCAACTACTCTGTGAGCTGCTGTTACCATGATGGGCACCTGGAGCTCTCTGGCCAGAGCTGGCACAACAGTGAGACCTTGTTGCAGGCGGGATTCCCAGGCGAGGCCTCCCTGCATGCAGAGCTGCAGATACACGGTAAGGCACCCAGCCCCGGGACTGGGGAGCTGGCTTCTTCCATGCCTTGGCCAGCCAGCAGCCTCAGGCCTGGACCCAGATGGCACCCCATGAAGCCCAGTGTGGCCCTGGGCTCTGGGACAACCAGGACAGCCTTGCCCATGAATGGTCTCACTCCCAAGGCAGGCGGATTAGTTTCCTAGGACTTCCGCAACCAAGTCCCACGCACCAAATGGCTTAAAACACAGAAATCTTAGCTGGTGTGCACAGGAATCTTAGCTGGATGTGGTGGCATGTGTGTGTGTGGTCCCAGCTACTCGGGAGGCTGAGGCAGGAAAATCGCTTGAGCCAGAAGGTCGAGGCTGCAGTGAGCTATGATTGTAACGCTGTGCTCCAGCCTCGGTGACAGAATGAGACCCTATCTCAAAATAAAACAGTCCACAGTGGGTTGAACGCCCATCCGGCTTGAATGTGATGTTATTTTTACTTAATTTCATCTGTAAAGACCATTTATTTATTTACTTAATCAATTTATTTATTTAAGACAGAGTCTCGCTGTTTCACCCAGGCTGGAGTGCAGTGGTGTGATGTCGGCTCACTGCAACCTCTGCCTCCCATGTTGAAGCGATTCTCCTGCCTCAGCCTCCTGAGTAGCTGGGATTACAGGCGTGCACCACCATGCCCGGCTAATTTTTGTATTTTTGGTAGAGACAGGGGTTAGTCATGTTGGTCAGGCTGGTCTCAAACTCCTGACCTCGTGATCCACCTACCTCGGCCTTCCGAAGTGCTGGGGTTAGAGTTGTGAGCCACCAAGCCCAGCCAAGACCCTATTTCTAAATAAGATCATCTTCTTAGGACAGAGGGTGAGGGGGGTGGGACTTCACTATCTCTTTTTGGGGGCCATGGTTCAACCCATTATGGGGGGAAGATAAAAGCAGTAAGAGGAGCCAGCATTGGCTGGGCACTTACTGTATACACGCCAGGCAAGCTGTGTACACACGAGAGCTCAGTGCAGTACAGCTGTGCCCATCACACAGGGGAACGCCACCGCTCTTAGAGGGGCCTTCAAGCCATCAGAACCCACACCCTCCCCCCATCTGACCTCTTTTCCCGGCCCCCAGCCCTACCTGTTCCACTCCTTTCTATTCTTTAACACACCAGGCTTGCTGCTGCCCCAGGACCTTGGCATGGGCTGATCCTGCTGCCTGGAATGCCTCTCTCCCACACACCTGCCTGGCTCCCTAGCCTCCCTTAGGTGTTTTTCCAATGGCATCTCTGGGAGGCCTCTTTTCCACCTCCCCATCTCCTCCCAACCTCTCCCCAGTTCTGTCATTTGAACACACCGTGTAGCATACAAATACCATTGTTTCTCATTCTATCTACACTGGACTCACCAGAATGTGTGCTCCATGACGGCAGGGATGATTTTTGTCTGCTTTGCCACAGGGCACATAGTAGGTGTTGAATGTGCGTGAATAAGCCAATGAGGTAGGGTTAGGAATGCCATTCCCATTCTGCAGATGAGGAATGGAGGCTCAGAGAGGTTGAGTCAGCTGGCCCAGGCCACACAGCTGGTGATGATGGAGCAAGGATTGAACCCAGAGCCACCCTCTGACCCCCACATAGATTATGGCGACCTGGCTCTTGACTGTTCAGGACCCCTGGGTCTCCCTAGTACCCTAGGGCATCTTCTGTTGGCCTCAGACTTTTTTATTTTGGGAGCTTGGTGCAATGGCTCATGCCTGTAATCCTAGCACTTTGGGAGGCTGAGGCAGGTGGATCATTTGAGGTCAGGAGTTCGGGACTAGCCTGGCCAACATGGTGAAACCATGTCTCTCCAAAAGTATTAGCTGGGCATGGTGGTGCATGCCTGTAGTCCCGGCTACTCAGGAGGCTGAGGCATGAGAGGCACTTGAACCTGGGAGGTGGAGGTTGCAGCGAGCCAAGATCACGCCACTGCACTTCAGCCTGGGTAACAGAGTGAGACTCCATCTCAAAAAAATGTAAAAAAAAAAACAACAAAAACTTTAGTTTTGGCTCTCAGCCTCCTGAGGGGTGAACGGAGGACTGGATCACATGAGGAGATTGTCCCTAGTGTGAGCTGACCTCAGAATTTGCTGGGGACAAGCGATGGAGTGATGGGCAGTCATTCTGGATGAACACTTCCACGCCGCTCTAGTTCCCGACCCAGGATGCCTGGTGTGGCCGCCCCCAGCCAGGAGTGACCTCTCCCTCCTTCCAGTGCTGTTCACAGTCTGCTGTCCCCACTCTCAGGGACACTTTCTGCCTGTCGTTAACATTCTTGGTATCTCTGACAGCCAAGCGCTCCCGGGCGTGGGAATCATGTCCCCTCCCTCCTCTTGCCCTGCACGTAGTAGGTTCACATGGTTGAGTGTGGAATGAGGAAGGAAGGAAGCGTGTCCGAGGCCTCCTGCGTGCCCCACAGGTGGTCCTCTCTCATGTGTTACCCCATTTTCTCTGGATGCTGTCCCTTGAGGCAGATGGCCTGTGCCCACCTTATAGATAAGGAAGTCGAGGCTTAGAGCTTCAGGGCTCATCCACCCTGCTGGCCAGATGGGAGGTGCTGGAGCCTGGCTGAGTGTCACTTGGGCCTCAGCCGTGAGCTGCACCCCACGGGAACCTGACATCTGACATAGAGTAGGCGCCATCTGTTTGCTCTGTGGCTCCTGGACCCGATGGGTTTCTATGTGTACAAGAGGGAATTTAAATCAAAGAAGAAACTCCTGTTGTGAGCCAGACTCTCCTGTTCTATGGGGGATGATGGGAGGGATGGGACCCTCCAGCCAGGGCCAGGTGGCTGCAGGTGGATATCAGGCCGCAGTGGCCATTTATCAAGAGCAGACCTCATGTTGATTCCTCTGTAGGCTGCTCAGAAAATCCCAGGAATCCTTACAGAGAAGCAACCTCCCCCAGTCATTCGGGAAGTACTCACTGACCCCCTGTTGTGTGTCAGGATCTGTCCTAAGAGAAACCCCGCCCCGGCGGATGGCATTCTGGTGGGGTGGCAGTAGGGGAGCAGGAAACTAGTAAGTAAGTGAGCGAGGTCATTTTGGGTTGTGCTGGGAACCCCACTCCAGGGAGATGGGATGGAGGATGCCTGGCAGCAAAAGATTGGGAGGGACTTGAGATGGGCAGTCAGGGGAGGCTTCTTAGAGGAAGTGTCATTTCAGCAACTTCAACTTCAATGAGCGGAGGAGCCATCCAGGCCTAGATCCTCAGGGACAAATGATGACAGATGATGTCAAGGAGGCTCAAAAGGGGTTGACCTCCCCCAGCCCCCCATGGGAGGCTTTCTGTTTCCTACTGGTGTTGTGTTTGACGGCCACAGGGCACCGCCCGTCCCGAAGTCTTGTGTGTTCCTGGGCTGGGGAGGGAGGTGAACCTGTCTTCAGTAGCCCGTGCCATTTTCTGCCTCTAGAGTCCCAGACCCAGGCCAACGTGGCCCTCCGTGGCAGCGACGGTGGTGTCTTCGTGGACCTGGCAGCCCTGGTGGCTTGGCCACTGCATGGCCCGCTGCAGATGATGGCCAATGCCAGCCACACAGTGCCTGCTCTGCAGAGGCTGGGCCTGCCCTTCTCCAGCCAGGTAAGGAGTGCATGGAGAGGGCCTCCCTCCAAATTCTGTCCCCTCTGTCCAATTCCTGGGGTGCAGAGCACCCACTGTGTGCAGGACGGATGGGGAGGGCCAGGCCTTGGGTTTCCCCAGCACTTTACAGTTTACAAAGGCTTTATTTGTAATCGCTATAACTAGGTCTGCTGCGCAGTCTCTGCGTTCCCGGTTACAGGGCTGGTGTGGACGGGAATCCTGGATTAGCATCTGGCTTCGGACCCATCTTTTTGTCCTGCACTTGGGTCAGAATCAAAGCTCCTGCTTGTCCAGTGCCTGCCCCGTGCCAGCCCCCTTTGAAGGGTTCATGGGCGTTTGTTAGTTTCATCCTCCCAATGCCCCAGAGAGAGGCAGGATGGCCCCTTCCTTACCAAGCTTTCTCCAGTGTTCGGATCCCAACTCTGCTGCTTGCAGTCTGGGTGGCCTTGGGCAAATTCCTTCGCCTCTCTGTGCCCTCATCTCCTCATCTGCAAAATGGGGATGACGATATTACCTATAATATGGAGCTTGTGAGGATTGAGTGAGTTAATCTCACGAATGCCTGAGTAGATGCTTCAGGAGCACTTGCTGTGACGAAGATGAAAAAGATGATTCTGATGATGTGACAGTGACCATCATCATCATCACCATCGTCTCTGGGTCACAGGCGAGAGTGTGGGTGACTTGCCCAAGGTCACCTAGCAAGCAAGCAGCAAAATAGGGCCTCAGACTTGGCGCCCAGGTCCTTCCTCACAGGGCCCTCCTGCCTTGGCGGAGGAACCCACATGGGGCCATGCAGTGGCCACTGTCACTTGGCATGAACTTGCCCTGCCTGGCTCGCCCTACTTCTCTGAGAGCCACAGAGTGTGCTCCAGAGCAGGCTCCAATGCTTCTTTCACACCCACACTCCTGTTTCAGATTACAAGCAACCCCTGCCCTAGTCCACTCTGCAGTGGGAGGAGGGGGTGACTCCTGGGGGCTCAGGAGGCCAGGATGTCACCCCTCCTACAAAGGATCTCAGCTCTGTACCCCACAACTCAGTGGACTGGATACCCCATGCCCCTGACTTCATCTACACTCTACCCTGGATTTGAGGCCAGGTGATGGGGAGCCCCCCAGGGAGCATGTTCTCGGCCGATGTCTGGGCTGCAGCTGTCCTTTGAGTGGGCATTGCCATCCTGAGCTGCAACAGGGGCTGACCCCTGGCATCCTCAGCACCCATGAGAGTGTTGGATGAGCCAGGCCTGCGGGGCTTGGGGACAGGGACGTGCATGGCTGTAGAGCTTGGCTGGGGTCCCCACCTGGCCTGTGAGGGTCCTCAGGCTGTCTACACCCACACACCGCACAGTTTGCTCCCTCCTCAGCTCGTGTTCCTAGGACTCTGGGCGGCAGAAGAGATGAGCTCCTTGCTGCGCCTGACCTGCGATTCTCAGGCCATCTTGGTCCTTGACATCCATGGCCAGAAGCAGGCAGTCAGGTGAGGCCCCCACCTACCAGGAGGGGAGGAGTTGCGGGGAGGAACCATTGGCTGGGCACCTACTGTGCACTGATGCTGGACACGGCACCTCTCCATCCTCTGCTCAGCCCTGCTGCACCGATGTGGGCAGGGAGGCTCAGAGAGGGCAAGTGACTTTCCCAAGGTCACCCAACTATAAAAATCCCTCACCCTCTCCAGGCAGAGCGCTGATGAGTTCTTGGTCTCAAAAACTAAGTGCATCCCAGGCTCTAGACACTTACTAGTGATTATGACTGCCCTTAGGGCTGGGGGCCTGGTGAGGTGCTTGGTGTTCTCATGCGTGCACTACATCAGGTGCCACCAGCCAGTTTCCAGTGCTCAGATCTCGGCAGCTGGGGAGGGAGTGAGTAAGCCACTTGTTGAGGGGGTAAACCAGTGGTTCTCACTGAGAGGAGACTCTCCCTGCTCCGCCCCCAGGGACTTCCGGCATGTCTGGGGAGTTTCTGGTTGCTACAGTGGGGAGGAGGACGCTGTGAGCGTCAGTGTGCAGAGGCCATGGATGCTATTAAGCATCTTACAGCAGGTCCTAAGTGTGCAGGACACACCCACGACCGCGAGGCCATGAGCCAAGATGTCTGCTGTACCAAGGCTGAGACCCTGGGGTGGAGAAGACCCCGACAGGAGGGTGCAGCGCCCTGGGGTTACCCAGGCCTGGCACAGTGGCTCACACCTAGAAGTCTAGTGCTTTGGGAGGTAGAGGTGGGGGTATTGCTTAAGCGCTGGAGCTCCAGCAGCATAGTGAGACCAGCCGGGGCAACACAGTGAGACCCCCATCTGTACAAAAAGTCTTAAAAATTGGCCAGGTGTGGTGATGCATGTTATAGTCCCAGCTGCCTGGGAGGCTGAGGCAGGAGGATCACTTGAGCCTGGGAGGTAGAGGCTGCAGTGAGCAGAGATCATACCACTGCACTCCAGCCTGGGTGACAGAGAAAGACCCTGTCTCTAGGAAAATGAAAAAGAAAAGGAAACATGGAGACGATTCCCACCCTGGCCTGAAGGACTGAGGGGAGGGGAGCTGTGTGAGGAGGAGCCCTGGGAGGCGGCCAGGGGGTCACAGTCCTGCTGTCCAGACCCTGCTGGGGCTCCCATGGGACCAACCCAAGAAAGCTCGTGGATGGGCTCATGGCAGACTTGCAGCCCAGAGCCAGGCTTAACCCTTGATACCAATGGGGAAACTGAGGCTCAGAGAGGGGCAACCGAGATGCTTGCCCATGGTGCCAGAGCTAGGTAGAGGCCAAGCTGGGATTCAAACCCAGGTCACCTGGCTCCAGAGTCCAGCCCTAACAGGGCCTCAGGGTGTGTGAACAGCCCTGCATTGGGCCACTGATGTGATCCTGGCTCTCTGACCCTCTCTTGGGGAAGCCGACTTGGTCCAACCTGGCCCTGGAGGCACTGGACAAGGCGGCTCTTGCCAGCTTCAAGCCCTCTCTTTCCTTCCTTCTAGCAAAGAGCTGCTGCTCTCAGGCCGGCATCGCCTCCCCTCCCTCCTGGGCCGCTGCCCCAGCTCAGCCTCAGTCTCGGCTAAGGTAACTGTGCCCCAGCCGCCTGGCTCCTAAGCGGTTCCAGATGCTCGGCCGCCCGAGGTGGGAGGGGGCCAGGCCCCTGTGGGGCGTGTAACGCATGCGCATCTGTCTGCCAGCCTGCAGCAGGCCCCGTGGGCCACCCTCGGAAACGTCTGGCTCCAGCTTTCCCAAACATACCCAGGTTTACATTCCTGGGCCGGCCCGCAGCCAGCCATCCCCTTTCGGAGATGGGGGAGGTCTCCTCACCCAGTGCCTGGCGCACTTGTAGAGGCTGGAGCTGATGACGCAGCCATTTGAGCTGAGCCCGCGTCACCCCCATTTCTGCTCTGTACGAATGACTGGAGGGCCCTGGGAGTGGACAGAAGGGCCCATTAGACTTAGGCCAGGTTCCTCTGTCCCTCTGAGCTGTCGTTGTCCGTGTCCAAGTCTGGAGCTCCTGGAGGGCATGCCTAGTGCCTGGCACAGGGCCCAGCGCATAGTAGGTGCTCAGTAAAAAACAGGGCATGAAGGGGTGAGTGCATGCATGAATGGTCACGTCTGCCGACTGGTCACATCAGTTTCCGGCCAGCCACCGTGTTTTGCTAGGCACCCTCCTAGCCCTGGCCCAGGCCGACTGTCTTTACAGAGCACGTGCTGTGTGCTGGGGTCCTCCGCCACATTACACATGATTTTGGAGTTCCTTACACTTTGCTACAACTGCGCAGTCATTCAGGGAACTTCTTTCTTTATTATTTATTTGTTTTTTCAGACAGAGTCTCGCTTTGTCACCCAGGCTGGAGTGTAATGGCATGATCTCGGCTCACTGCAACCTCCGCCTCCCAGGTTCAAATGATTCTCCCACCCCAGCCTCCTGAGCAGCTGGGATTGCAGGCACGCACCACTATGCCTGACTATTTTTTGTTTTTTTTCACAGAGATGGGTTTTCACCATCTTATCCAGCTGGTTGCAAACTCCTGACCTCAAATGATCCACCACCTCTGCCTCCCAAAGTGTTGGGGTTACAGATAGGAGTCACCATGCCTGGCCTTACTTTTTATTTTTAAAATTTCTTTTTGAGACAGAGTCTTGCTCTGTCACCCAGGCTGGAGTGTAGTCACGTGATCAGAGTTCACTGCAGCCTCAAGCTCCGGGGTGCAAGTGATCCCCCGCCTCAGCCTCCGGAGTAGCTGGGACCACAGGAAGTACCACCACACCTGGCTCCGTTCAGGAAGCCGCTTAGTTTTTCTGAAAGTTTTGTTTTGAGTCATTTGAACCTATAAAAAAGTTACTGTGGGACAGTGAACGTTGACCAATTGTTAATATCTTTCCATATTTCTCATCTGTGTTACATTTGTATCATTATACACACATTTTTTCTGTATCATTAAGAAGGAATATAGAGATGTCTCTGAAGATGTCACCTTTTTACTCTGAAATACTTCAACTCTTTCCTGTAACAAGAGTATTTTCTGATTTAACACAATAATTACAGCATTCAGGAAACTGAACATTGAAGTCATACCTTCATTTAATGTACAGCCCATATAAAATTTCCCAGCTTTCCCAATAACGTTGTTTCAAAAAAAACTGTTTTGTTTTGTTTTAAATCCGGGATGCAGGCCAAGATCGCACAGCGTGTGTAGTTGCCATGTCTTTTTAATTTTCTGAATCTAGAACAGAGGTCTATAAACTTTTACTGTGAAGTGAAATGTGGGGGTTGCAGGCCTTATGATCGCTGTTACAGCTACTCAGAATTGTCATTGTAACACAAAAGCAGCTATAGACGATATGTAAGTGAATAGGCATGGCTGCGTTACAATAAAACTTTATTTACAAAATCAGGTTGTGGGCCACATTTGACCCAAAAGCCAGCTCCTGATCTAGAACATTCTCCTTCCACACCCTACCTTTCCTTACCCAATGTTTTATTTTGTATTTTTATTTTTTAACTTTTTTTGAGATGGAGTTTCTCTCTGTTACCCGGCAGGAGTGCAGAGATGCGATCTCGACTCACTGCAACCTCCGCCCACTGGGTTTAAGCAATTCTTCTGCCTCAGCCTCGAGTAGCTGGGATTACAGGCGTGCACTACCACACCTGGCTAATTTTTGCAGTTTTAGTAGAGATGGGGTTTCACCATGGTGGCCAGGCTTGGTCTCAAACTCTTGACCTCAAGTGATCCGCCCACCTTGGGCTCCCAGAGTGCTGGGATTACAGGTGTGAGCCACTGCGCCCAGCGCCCCCCACCCCCCGGCAACATTTTATTATGGAATTTTTCAGACACTAAGAAAAGGAAGTAATTTCACAGTGAACACCCACATACCTAGATTTTCCTGTCCTCATTTTATTTTGCGTAATCACATAGCTCTCCTCCATCCATCTTATTTTTGGATATGTTTCAAAGTAAGTTGCAGATACCAATATAATTTCCCCTAAACATTTTATTATCATTAATCACCTTTAAAAAAATTCCAACCGGATGCAGTGGCTCACACTTGTAATCCCAGCACTCTGGGAGGCCGAGATGGGAGAACTGTTTGACTTCAGGAGTTCAAGACCAGCCTGGGCAACCTAGGGAGACGCTGTCTCTACAAAAAACTGAAAAAAGTAGCCAGGCATGGCAGAGTGTACCTGTAGTCTCAGCTACCCGGGAGGCTGAGGTATGGGAGAATTGCTTGACCCCAGGAGGTTGAGTCTGCAGTGAGCTGTGTTCACTCCACTGCACACTCTAGCCTGGATGACAGAGCAGACCCTGTCACTGTCTAAAAAAAAAAAAAAAAAAAAAAAAATCCTGCATTGACAATTTTGAAGTGTCCAGGAAGCTATTTTGGAAAACATTCTCAATGTGGATTTGTCAGATTGCTGAAGACAAGATTCAGGTTGAAGATTTTTGACAGGGGTATCACTAATGTAATGACACATCTCTGGTGAGCTCTTTCAAAGTACCAGCTCTTGGCCAGATGTGGCTGGAGCCTGTAATCCCAGTACTTTGGGAGGCTGAGGTGGGCGGAGCACCTGAGGTCAGGAGTTCGAGATCAGCCTGGCCAACATGGCGAAACCCCTGTCTCTACTAAAAATACAAAAAATAGCCGGGCATGGTGACACACATTGTAGCCACTCAAGAAGCTGAGGCAGGAGAATCACTTGAACCCGGGAGGCGGAGGTTGCATTAAGCGGAGATCACTACTGCACTCCAGCCTGGGTGACAGAGAGAGACTCCGTCTCAAAAAAAAAAAAAAAAAAAAAAAAGGTATCCGCTATTGAACCTCTTCTCAGAGACTCTGTTTTTGTAGGTTTTAAGTGGAAGCCCAGAATCTATATTTTTAGTAAGTTTCCAACAGCGATTCTGCTTTTCAGCCAACCTGGGAGTTAGCACGTTATTTCATACAATTTTCACAGGCGCTATTTCAGAAGGTGGGGTGTGACCTAAAATGGAACTGATCAATCCTTCCTCTCATCAAGTGTCTACTGTAATGGGGAAGATTACCCAAAATCACAACCCGTAATAAAATAGATGTCCTTATCCCTGTGTTTTGGATTAGAAGGCTGAGGATCGGGTGGTTAAGGACCTAGCTAGAGATTACTCGCCTCTCCGTGGTGCATCCACACTTGGAGTTCTGTGTGTTTGGTGCCGACACAAGCCCAAGCGTTGTCCTTTCTGCTAGACTGCCCCCTGCTGGCTGCAGCAGTACTGCAACTAGAGTTCTCGCCTGCTGGCGCCAGGCTGGTAGATATTTTCAAGTCAGTGTTACAGCAGGAGGGCCTGAGAAGATAGTTGCTATGGCCACATTTGATGCCCTAAATTGAGGCTCCAAATGCTTACTTCACCAAAGTCCCTCCAGCCCAGGAAGCTGTGGGTCTCCTGGCCCTGGGGCTTTGGGAGGCAGAGCTCACGGCTTAAAGCCAGCATCTGCTTAAATGTTCCATCAGAGCTCTGATGAAGAGATCTTTTGTGTGTGTGTGTGTGTGTGTGTGTTTTTTTTTTTTTTTCCTGACCCAGCTACACTACTCCAAGGGTGAGGTTCAGAGCACATTTGCCTTGGGTGTGGAGGAGCATCATTTTCACATCAGCACACAGCTGGTAGCTGCTAAGGCCAGTCTTGCCAACTTCATGAAGCTGGAACATTCCTTCCTGCAGGTATGTGGAGGACGGCCCAGGCCCAGGGCATGCTGGGGTGTGGGGAGGGGGGTCGCTCCTGGGACAGCCCTTGCAGAAAAGAGAAACTGTCCTAATGTCCTGGTTCCTGGGAGGAAAGGCAGGCAAGGCTGCCAAAATTTCCTGGAGTAGCTAATCAGTTGGTGTCTTTATCCATCCCTCCCTCTTTTTGCATGATTTATTGAGCATTTACTAGGTGCCAGGCACTATTTCAGAAGGTGGGGTGTGACCTAAAATGGAACTGATCAGTCCTTCTTCTCATCAAGTGTCTACTGTAGTGGGGGAGATTAACTACCCAAAATCACACAAATATGCCAGATAGTAGTAAGATATGGAGAAAATGTACTGAAGTGACTGAGTGAACAGGGAGTGTATTTAGATTAGGTGGCCAGGGAAGACTCCACTGAGGAGGTGGCGCTGGAGCTAGCCTTGGATGATAAGTGCAGCCATTTGAAAATCTAGGGGAAGGCCAGGTATGGTGGCTCATGCTTGTAATCCCAGCACTTGCAGAGGCTGAGACAGGAGGATCACAAGATCAAGAGATCGAGACCACCCTTACCAACATGGTGAAACCCCGTCTCTATTAAAAATACAAAAATTAGCCAGGTGTGGTGGCACACACCTGTAGTCCCAGCTATTCAGGAGGCTGAGGCAGGAGATTCGCTTGAACCCGGGAGGTGGAGGTTGCCGTGAGCCGAGATTTCACCACTGCATTCCAGGCTGGGCATGACAGCAAGACTCCATCTCAAAAAAAAAAAAAAAAAAAAAAAAAAAAAAAAAAAAAAGAAAGAGCAAACTTCCTACCCCAGCCCAGCAGTCAACCTGCAGTGCCCTCAAGTGACCCTCGGACTATGGTACCTACCAGCAGGGACAGCGACCCTCTCTGAGCCTTTGTACAGGCTGTTCCATGTGCCTGGAATGCTCTTCCCTGCCTCCTCCCCAGGCTTGCCTCTTTGTGTTCCTTTCTCCCTTGAATGCCTCTTGTGACCATTCTTGTCCCATCATTTTCTGTCCTGTGACTATCTCCCTGCAAGCCTGGAAGCCCCGTAAAGGCCAGGACCACGTCTTGGCTATCTGTACACAGGTGCTCAGCACTGGCTTGGGAGCATAAAACCTGCTCACTGCATGATTGAGAAATCCCAGTACCAACTGCCTGGCTCCTACAAGCTCCTCTCTACAATCTAGCCCTGGGCTGAGTGCACCGTTTATATTATCTTGCAGAGGTTGACACTTTGTTGCCTTCATTGTCTAGGAAAGTGAGGTTCAGAGAGGTTGGAAACGTGCCCAGAGCCACACAGCTTGGCCACGGAGTTGAGAAGTGGCTGTTCTGTGCTGTCTTCCGTTGGCCAGTCTCTTCACCCACTCCCCTCCTTTATGTTATCAGCTCATCCTTAGGAAGCATTTGGCTTTTTGACTTGTGTCACCATGCAGAAAACTATAAATGATCCACAAATAGTCCCTTTCTCCTCCTCTGCAAGCTTCTCTCCTTTCCCATCCCAGGCAGAAGTGTGGGGCAGGTGCCCCTGTGACGCCATCATTCTCTTCCAGCTCAGCGCCCTTCCCGGGGAGCTGGTCCTGCAGACCACATATGAGAGAGCTCATGGGACCCGTGTCCTGCGCCACATGGTGCTGTGGGATGGCCAGGAGTTGGCCCTCACTGGGAGCCTCTCCGGGTCTCTCCCCAGGCCCTTCAGGAACCTCAGCCTGCAGGGTGAGTGTGTGAGGGGACGTGGGCAGCAGTGACCCAGTCACTCAAGAAATCATCCCTGGCTGGGCACAGTGGCTCACGCCTGTAATCCCAGCACTTTGGGAGGCCAAGGTGGGTGGAGTTTGAGACCAGCCTGGTCAACATGGTGAAATGCCATCTCTACTAAACAAAAATTAGCTGGGTGAGGTGGTGGGCACCTGTAATCCCAGCTATGTGGGAGGCTGAGGCAGGAGAATTGACTGAACCAGGGAGGCAGAAGTTGCAGTGAGCCGAGACCGCACCATTGCACTTCAGCCTGGGCAACAGAGTGAGACTTGGTCTCAAAAAAAAAGCCATCACTGAGCACCTGCTGATCCCAGGTGTGATTCTAGGCACTAGGGATCCATCAGGAAGCAAGACGTTGCCCCTTGGGGAGACAGGCATTGAGCAAGACACACATAAGCAAAATAACATCTAACATAACGATTTCAGCATGTGGGAAAGAGTGAGAGAGCAAGCAGGCCTGTGTGGAGTGTGGGGCTCCTTTAGGTGTGGTCTGGGAAGGCCTCTTGGAGGAGGTGACTTCCGAGCTGAGATCTAAGGGATAAAAAGCAGCTGGCTGAGGTGCAGATCTGAGCAGAGGCACTTCAGGCGGAAGCCCCTGGTGGAAATGAGCTTTGCGTGCGGAGCAGCATCAGGGAGGCCAGGGTGGCTGCAGTGGGGAGAAGGGAGGAGGTTAGGCAGGAGGGCTGGGGGACCCAGGGCACGCAGGGTCTCGGTCCACAGAGAGGAGCTAGGGCTTATCCTGAGTGTGACTGGGCAGGGAGAAGGGGCCAGGGTGTGGGAGGGGTGGCATCCCTGGGCAGTTCTGGTGCCAGGGGAGGTGCGTGCCAATGCAGCCCCGACAGCAGCGGTGAGCCCCGGGGTCCTCCAGGGACAGGCATCCCTGGAAGGGGCTGTCATTCGTGGCCTGTGCAGCCACACAGACTGTCAGTTTCTGTGTGAGAACCCCCCTGGGTACAGAGAAGAGCCCGACCCCGGACCCGCCAGGTGCAGAGACAGAGTGCAGACCCCAGCCCGGGGCACAGTTTGCCAGGTGGCCTGATGGAATCCTCCCAGTGTCACGTTTGCCAGTTGTGTGCCCTGGAAGGCAGAGGAAATGAGCAGGTCCTCAACAGGCCAAGGCAGTGTGCAAGTATGTGTGTGTGCATGTATGTGTATGCCTGTATGTGTGTGCGTGCCTGTGTGCACACCTGTATGCACGTGTGTGCCTGTATGTGTGCATGTCTGTGTGCGCATGCCTGTATATGCATGCTTGTATGTGCACGTATGTATGCCTGTGTATGTGTGCATGCCTGTATGTGTGCCTGTGTACATGCTTGTATGTGAACGTGTGTGCACTTGTGTGTGCATGTGTAAGCCTGTGTGTGTGCATGCCATATGTGAGCATGCGTGTATGGATGCCTGTGTGCATGGGTGTGTATATATGCACGTGCATGCATGCGTTTGTGTATTTGTGCCACCCTTGGTGAGCCTCACAGCCTGCAGCCCCACACTGTGGTCACAGCGTTGCAGGTGGTGGGTCAGCGGGTGGCAGGGAAAAGGCTTCCAGCCCTGCCTGTGGTCAGCCTCCCCAGAACCAGTGACTGGGTGATGCCCTGAGAGCCAGCTAGTGCCAGTGCCTCTGAGCACAACTCCCTGCAGCCCATCTGAACATGTGGGTGCCCTTTGTACACAGCTCAGCACAGCACAAAGCGCCCCAGGCAGCCTCCTGCCATAGGGGTCTGGGAAAGCAGACTGTGCAGGGGCCTCAGGAGGTGGGGTCAAGTGATACAGGAGGTCAGGGCAGCTTGACTCACCTGGGGGACAAAGGAAGAAGACCCAGGGTGTGGAGACTGTTGCGAGGACTCAGCTATGGGGTGCCACCTGCCACACCCCGAGATGGAAGGAGGGCATAGGACTGGGCGGCATGGGGGTGTGGGGATTCTGAGGGGCTCAGGTCACCCATGCATGTGAGGCCCGCGAGAGCGATGCGGGTTGCTGGGAGTTGGGGCCGCTCCCATTAGACCTTGATGTAAGATGGTAAAAACTGCTCCAAAACTCAGCGGCATCAAGCAAGCATTGGTCCTTGCTCACAAGGCTGTGGGTTACCTGGGCAGCTTGTCTGTCCTTCTGCATGTTCAAGGTCAGCTGTAGGGTGAGCAGGCGGCTCTGCTGGCCTTGGCTGGGCTCTCTGACCTGCTCGGGGGCTGGCTGTCAGCTGCGCTCGGACATCCTGAGCTGAAACCAGGCTCCCTCCAGCCCCGGGTGGCACCACCCCACGGGCGAGCAGGGTTGGTTCTCATGTGGCTGGGAAGGGGTTCAAGGGAGGAAGCGTGGCGAGGCCTCTTAAGGCCTGGGCTTAGAACTGGTGCTCGTTCACCTCACCGCATTCTATTAGCACATCACGAGGCCAGCCCAGGTCCGAGGGTTGGGGAGGCAGATGTCACCTGGAGGAGCCTTGACGTCTCATTGTGATGGGGACTCCCACAGGGGCAGTGCAGGGTGTCAGGTGGTAATGGTGACAAAGTGAATGCAGAGCTGCCGAATTCTGTGTGGCCCCGAGTGACCACCTGCTTGAGCTGGCAGCAGCTGCCGCTGAGAGTCCCCTGAACCCCCCGGGGCTGGAGCTGCTGACCTCAGCTCACATGGCCTACCCTTTGTGTGTGTCCTCCCCCGCCCAGTGGAGCTCACCCACCTGCTGCCCCTCCCCCTGCCTCAACACTGCAGCCTCCGCCTGTCCTCACAGCATTCGGGAGGCAGCCACCGGGACGGCCTGGTTGTCGGCTGGGATGGCAGGGACCAGGTAGGTGTCGGGGCTGGAAGGTGACCCTGGGGCAGAGCTCAACTCCACCCTGCAGGCTGAGTGGGGTCCTTGGGGCCCTCCTCTGCCTGAGGAGCCTTACCTGGGGCTGACAAGGCTGCACCATGTCCCACAGTCTCATTGAAAGGGCAGCAGGAGACCTGGGTCCCCACAACACCTTGACAGACATGGCAGTGCCAGTGGCTGACAGGCCCTGAATGCTTAGCCCGTGATAGGTGCCGTGGGTCAGCCCACACCTCAGCCTCCAATCTGCTGGGTGCTGTGTTCAGATGGCGAAATTGAAGGACGTAGAGGCGCCGTGACCTGCCTAGAGCCACAGAGCTGGGGAAGACAGTGGAAGAGGAGGGCGACCTCCAATTTCATCTCTGTCATGTGTTCGCTCCATTCGCTCCTCACCAAGCCTCGATGTCCTCCTCTGAGAAATGGGCTGAGCTCTCCCAGGGCCTTGCACAGGGCTGGGTTTGTGCTCAACGCCACCTGCCCTTGCAGACTTGACCCTGGTGGAGAAGGTGGGAAAGGTGCGGCCTGTCTGGGTAAGGCCCCTGGCTGAGTCTGTCCCCTCCCCAGGTGCTGGTCTCCTCCTCCCTGTGGCTGGGGAAGAGTGAGGTGGCTGCCCGCCTGGCCCTGGCTCACCCATTCAACATCTCCTGGCAGCAAGCCGAGGCCAGTGGCCTTGCTGAGAGCAGGGGTGGCAGGCAGAGCCGGCAGGTAAGCGAGGATGTCCTAGGCACTCTTGTCGGGGGTGGGAGCTGGGAGCCACGTGGCTGAGCCTGGGGGGCTGGGCCCATCAGGTAGGAGAAGGAGACCATGTTCATCGTTCATCAGTGACAAGGACTTCTCCGGAATCACAGTTCCCTGAAGCCTGGGATCTCCTCGGTCCTCCATTCAGTTGTTCCTTTACCAGTACTTCATTAAGCACGTACTGTATACCAGGCAGTGTTTGTGGACAGCTCACATTTTAACATGGGAAGCAAGTCCAGGCGTCTCCAATTCATTCATAGTTGCCTGTTCAGTGGTAGCTTTGGGGACTGAGTGAGCAGCTGGGAGCCCCGTCTGGCTGGGTGGCCTCTGGCGTCTCCCATCGCCTCTCTGAGCCTTCGGTTTTTCCGTCTGTGAAAGGGAGGGCAATAGGCCAGCTGTGTGCAGGAATCAGAAGGTGTGACAAGCACCATAAAGCAGTAAAGATGGGCCAGCCGCAGCGGCTCACACCTGTAATCCCAGCACTGTGGGAGGTTGAGGCAGGCAGATCACTTGAGGTCAGGAGTTTGAGACCAGCCTGGCGAACGTGGCAAAATTCTGTCTACTAAAAATACAAAAAAGTGGCTGGGCATGGTGGTGCACACCTGCAGTCACAGCTACTCAGGAGGCTGAGGCAGGAGAATCACTCAAGCCGGGGAGGCAGAGGTTGCAGTGAGCCAAGATCATGCCATTGCACTCCAGCCTGGGTGACAGAGCAAGACTCCATCTCAGAAAAAAAAAAAAAAAAAAAAAAAAAAAAAAAAGAAGTAAAGAGCATATAAGATCGAGAGTGACTGGGCAGGTGGGTGGGGGAGCTACTGTAGGCGGGTAGTCAGTGAGGGCCTCGTGGGGGAGGCAGCCCCGTTGGGAAGGACCAGGCTTGCGAGAAGGTGGGGAAGCAGCATGCAGGAGGCAGGAAAAGCAGGTGCAGAGGCCCCTGTGGTGGGAAGGAGCCGGGTGCTTCGGGGAGTGCTGGAAGGGGAATAAGACGGGGGCAGAGTGCTTGGTGGGGGCGGGTGACCTGGCGATGAGGTCAGATGGGCCGGGACAGATCCTGCTGGCCTTGGAGGCTGCACTGAGGCGCACGATTGCCTTCTGCTTTTGGAAATGCTGCGTCTGGCTGTTGAGGATGAGGTGTATTTTTTACTCCAGATGCTTTCCGTCTGCAGCCTGGGAACAGCTCTGGGCTCTTCCAGAGACGAGGGGCAGGGCAATCTCTACACCCCGCCATCCTAATTCCTCTACAGGGATATTGGGGGGGGTGCCAGTTTCTCCATCCTCCCTAGCCTCTCATTTCCCAACAGAGATGGGGTGTGGGGGTGCCGTTAGCCTCTCTTCTCCCCCGAGTCTCCCCCTTACCCCACCACTGCCCTCCCATCTCAATTCAGGTTCAGCTCACCTGGAACAGAGGACAGCCTGTGACTCTGCAGCTCACCTGGGCCGACAGGTTCGCAGCACACAGCACCACCTGGGACGGCTGCCTGGCTGCCTCCCCGGGGCAGGTATGCGGGATCTGGCTGCTGTGCCCAGTGTGGGGTTCCCCTTTGCTCCAGGCTTCTCAACTGGCTCCCCCACCCAGGTCATGTACCTATTCTCTTCCCTATCAGCTCCAGGAAACCTTGGGCCTGGATCACCTCCGGGCCTGCGGGGCCATAACACAGACCGCAGCTGTGTTCACTGAACAGCTCGACCTGTCCTGGGGCCAGCAGCGTATGCGGCAGAACTTGACATACGAGGTGAGGCCTGGGGAGCAGCGTCCGGGCTGGGAACCCCCAGGCGGCTCCACCTGCTGCAGGAGCACCCCGCTCTGGGACTGTGTGGTCTTGAGTTCCAGTACGTGCGGAATCCTGGGCAACCACTTTTCTGCTGTGCACCTTGGTTTTCTCACCTGTGAAATGGGCACAATACCCCCTTCCTACCTGGGATGTGGTGAGGACTCTGGAAGACAAGAAAAGCATGTGTTTCCAGAATGAGATGCTGGAAACAGATGGGGAAGGAGGTGGGGTGCTAGTGGGCTTCTCAGGAGGGGGCAGAGGGAGATTGGGAGCTCAGGTTCCTGGAGGCATCGGGGACCATGTCTCCTCCACCATCACTACCTGATGGGCTCCTCATGGGGCCGAGCACTGTTCTGAAGAGCCTGGGGCAGGAACGTGCCCATGGAGAACTGGGGAGAGCTGGCCCTGGAAGCCCCCTTCCTCCTCTGGGCCTCCCACCTGGGTTCCTGGGGCTCTCAGGCCTGGCCCCCTACATGCTCAGAGCAGAAATCCTGCCATGGGAAGGGTGCAGTGGCTCACGCCTGTAATCCCAACACTTTGGGAGGTTGAGGCAGGGGAATCACTTCAAGTCAGGAGTTCAAGACCAGCCTGGCCAACATGGTGAAACCCTGTCTCTACTAAGAATACAAAAAAACTAGCTGGGCATGGTGAGGTGCACCTGTAGTCCCAGCCATCTGGGAGGCTGAGGTGGGAGAATCACTTGCACCTGGGAGATGCAGATTGCAGTGAGCCGAGATCGTGCCACTGCACTCCAGCTTGGGCTACAGAGCAAGACTCTGTCTCAAAAAAAAAAAAAGAAAGAAAGAAAATCCTGCAGCAGAGTGTAAGGGAGTGCTGTGGCTGTTGAGGGCTCTGACGGTGGATTCCTGGCACATGTTCTTACTAGGTGAGGGTCTCCACCTGCAGCTAGCCATGGGCATTCTCTTCCGTGATAAGCCCCTGGTATATGGGCCCTCTCATTCTAGAGGCATCAGCCGTCTCAGCCAGAAAAAATCGTTGTGGAGGCCATGCTGAAGCACGTCCTCGGGGCCTCTTGTGCCCGGCAGAGCTTCCGGGGAGAAGTACAGACTGACTACGCACACTGGCTGCAGCACTCCCTCCGCCTGGGGCTCTGTGACCTGCCCAGGGTGAGTCTGCCGTGGGGAAAGGGGCAGCCGGAGGACCAGGGACCAGCGGTGATGGGGCAGTACGGAGGGTGGTGCCCACAGAAGGCAGGAGTGTGAGCGAGGCAGCCAGACACCAGCATGGCGGCTCTGCCTTTTGCCTGCTGGGTGACTAGGCAGGGCGCATCTCCTCTCTGAGCTTCCAGTGTTTCATCTGAGGAATGGAAGGAGCAGCAGGTTCCAGGAGGTAGGGTGATGGTGAGAGTTGAGAGAAATGTGATGCAGGAATGCTCAGCCTTGGCGCCTGGCACAGAAGTTAGAGTTGCTGTTGTCATGTTTGCCTCAGAAGAGAGGTGTTGGGCCCTCTTTTCCTCAACCCTGTCCCCTCCTGGCGTTGGTAGCTGGTTGATTGGGTCGTTTATCCACCCACCCATCCATTCATTCACCCATCCTTCCTTCCTCCTTCCCATCTTCCATCCCTCCCCCTATTTCTGCCCTCCCACCCCTACTCCCTTGCATCCCTCCACCATCCATCCATTCCATCCATCCCTCCCCCTATTTCTGCCCTCAACCATCACTCCCTTGCATCCCTCTATCGCTTCACCATCCATCCATAATCATCCATCCACCATCCATCCACTCACCATCCACCCATCATCCACCATCATCATCTACGTCACCCAGCATCCACCATCATCCATCCACCCCAGGGACCCACAGTCTTCTGTAAAGGGATAGATAGTAAATATTTTAGGCTTTATGAACCATCCAGTCTCTGTTTCAACTACCAACTCCACCAGTCTTGTGAAAGCAACTATAGATGATATGTAAGTGAATGCAAGTGGCTGTATTCCAGTAAAAGTATTTACAAGAGTTGACAGTGAGCCAGATTCAGGCCTGAACCATTGTTTCCCACTCCTTATCTATTCCTCTGTTCATTCAGAAAACGTGTATGTGTGTCACCTATGCCAGGCTGTGCTCTGGGTGCAGGGACTGGGTAGTGAAAGAGACAGCCTGGGTGCCGGCCTCCTGCGTGGTGCATCGCAGTGGGGCCAGGAAGATACAGCAAACTGGAGCTGCTTGGCCTGTGGTCAGGGCGTGGCAAATGCTGTGCAGGGAGGGGCCGGTGCTGGAAAACGGGCCTCACTGGTGAGGGTGAGCCCTGCAGAGGGAAGGGGCCTGAGGCAGGACTTTGCCTTGAGGATCACAGGACAGGCCGTATGGCGGGAGCGAAGGAGGTGAGGTTGGGAAGAGGAAGCAGTCACAGGCCATGCCAGAGCCCGGCTTCTTTTAAGTGCAGGGGACAACGTTTGATTAGAGTTTTGTTTTTTTTTCTTCCTGAGACAAAGGTGCTTGCTCTGTCACCCAGGCTGGAGTGCAGTGGCGTGATCTCAGCTTACTGCAACCTCCGCCTCCCAGGGTCAAGCAATTCTCCTGTACTCAGCTGAGTAGCTGGGATTATAGGTGAGTGCCACCATGCCCGGCTAATTTTTGTTTTAGTAAAGATGGGGTTTCACCATCTTGGTCAGGCCGGTCTTGAACTCCTGACCTCGTGATCCGCCCACCTCAGCCTCCCAAAGTGCTGGGATTACAGGTGTGAGCCACCGTGCCTGGCCCTGATTTGTGTTTCTTAGAGGTTAGCTGGGGCAGAGGCAGGTGTGGAGGCTGAGAAGTGACAGCTGCTGCAATATTCCCGGTGGAGGGGATGGGGAGGAGAAGCAGCTCTTGCCCCCGCTTGCCTGCCTGACACCCAGACTCTTTCATCCCAGGCCCTCTTGGTCTCCGGGGAGCACATCCTGGGCCGGGGTGGGCTCCTGCTGCGTTCCCGCTGCCAGGTGGGCCTCGCTCCAGCCCCAGAACACGGCCTGCACCTCAGTCTGACCCTCCGAAACCACAGCAGGCCTCACTCGCCTGACTTCTCCGGGGAGCTAGAGGTGGGTGGCCAGGACCCGGCTGACGGTTCCTGAGGAAGATGCGCCGACTTCGCCCCCGTTCCTCCCTGGCCAGCAGCTCCTCACTGCCTGGGCGGCCCCGCCACCTAGTGGCCAACTGAGGAACTGCAGACCAGCACCCGGGATGGGGCCAGAGCATCACCCTGGGTTCAGGGAACACCTGCTGAACCTCAGGAGAGGCCCTGGCGCCAAGACAAAGCAGCTCCTCCACCTGCCCAATACCCAGCCGTTCCTATAACGGAGAAGTAGCAGCTGGGCTGCCCAAGTTTGAATCTCAGCCCAGCTGCCTCCTGGCACCTGAGTTTCCTCCCTTGTAAAATGGGTGATTACACTGGCCGTATCTCCCATGGGGTTAACATTGCAAAGATTACATATGTTCATAGGCATAGATTGCTTAGAGCAGTGCCTGATGGAAAACAGCCACTATGTACGTATTTGCCGTCGTTAGCCACTATTGGCCCCATCTCCTCTCCTTCCTGCCTCCCAGCAGCCCTGGGTAGTAGGAGGGGGCAGAGTGGGCCTCCAATGCCTGCTCTGCCTTGACCTTGCCAGGCGATCCCAGCAAGGAAAGTCTCTGAACATCTGTTTCCTCATGTTGGATCAGTTGTTTCATAGGGTGGTTTTTGGGGGTCTGGATAGCAGCTCCCACTGCCCACATAGCCAAGGCACGTGACAGCAGGTGCTCTCTTGGTGATTCCATCTGCCTCCTCTGTCTCCCTGGCTGGGTAAACTTGACCTTGTGACTTTCCTTTGCTGAGCCTCAGTCTTCCCCCCATTAAATGGGAACATCTAACATCCCCCTTGCAGAATCCTTAGGAGGAAAACAGACATTTGTACAACATCTGCACATAGTAGGTAGTTGTGAGAAGGGAATTCCCTCCCTTCCTGGCATCTAGAGCTGGATGAAGATGGCATGTGTGGGTTGATAGTTCAGCAGCTGTGGCCATTTCAAAGGAGATTTTCCTTCCAAGGTTCTTGTTCTCTGGGACTGATGGTCACTTCCCGTTTCCCAGCCAGGCTCCTGGCTGCTCCCGGCCCCCAGCTCTGTAAGCCCCATGCCTGATAGAACCAGATGCCTGGGAAGGAGCCTGTGGTGGGGACTGAGCAAGTGGCTGGTCCTCTTGCTTCCCTGTCCTGCATTTACTTGAGACAGCTGTTCTGGCGCCTTCTCACTGGCTCCATTCTGGGGTCAGTGGAGTGGCCAGAGGCCTTCCCAGCCTTCTTTGATCCTCCCCACAACCCAGTGGCCCCAGGACAGACGAGGGACAGATTGAGGGAGGTCAGGCACTCTTCCAGGCTGCACAGAGGCAGGTGCGGCTGAGGCCGACTCTGTGTGGTCTGCAGATTGTCCCCTGACCCCAACTGGCTGGCAGGATCACAGTGTGCTCTGTGAAATTCCACAGGAGTCCTGGGCTGAACCTTCTTCCTAACTTGCATCTTCTCAGAGATCAGTGCTTCTGCATGTGCAGTAAGCACCCTGCATTAGGTTCCAAGGGCGACTGTATTCAGTTGCCACCAACCGGAAGGATTAATGCAACAGACATGTTCTAGAGGCCAGAAGTCCAAAACAAAGTTGTCAGCAGGGCCACCTTCCCTCTGAAAGCCCTAGAGACGATCTTTCCGTACCACCTCTAGCTTCTGGTGGCTGCCAGGAATGCTTGGCTGTGGTGGCATCGTGCCAGTCTCTGCCTCTGTCCCAGGTGGTGGCCTTCTGCCTTCTGAGTGGTGTCTTCACATGGCCTTCTCCTAGGGACAGCATTCATTGGGTGTGTGGCCTGCCTTCATCCACTATGGTCCCATCCTAACTTGATATTTGCAAAAAAACTTTCTAAATGATACCATGTTCATGAGAATGGGAGGTTAGGACTTCAACATATGTGAGGAACAAAATTCAACCCTTAACAGACACACGTGCAGACACACATACACTTTTAAGTCCTTCTGAGTTTTGGGAACCATTGTTCTGTATGTTTTACAGACCTTTGAGCTGAGGCCCAGAGAGGGTGCCGCCCTTACTGAAGGGTGCACAGCTTGGTAGCTGCAGTGTCTGGAGCAGAATACAGGGTAGCTGAGGCTCCTTCCCCTGCAGGGCCTCCTCCAGGCTTGTGTTCTGTTGGGGCCCCTGAGCCTCTCTACCACCCCATTCTAGACTCACCTGTCCTGGTCCTGGTCCCTGCCGTGCCCTGAAGGCTAGGCGCCTGCAGGGATTGAAGTAAACTGCTCAGTGCCTGGGGTGTTATGCCACGTGTTACCCACGCCTCCGTGAACTTGCTTAGACCTTTGCAGTGATTCCCATGCAAACTCAGAAAGCCTGGGCTCTTGGCAGAAACACCAGGGCACTGTGAATATTAGAAATACAAGTGTGTGGGTGTGGGGGGGGGGGGGGGGGGGGAGGGGGGGGGGGGCCCTCCCTCAAACCAATTAAATCAGAGTGTCTGGGCAGGGCCTGGGAAGCAGTCATCTCTAAGTTACCCTGTGGCGGCTGCTGCTGGGTTGGTGGGCTCCTAAATGTTTTTTGAGAGAGTCTTACTCTGTCACCCAGGCTGAAGTGCAGTGGCGCCATCTTGGCTCACTGCAACCCCCGCCTCCCGGTTCAAGCAATTCTTCTGCCTCAGCCTCCCAAGTAGCTGGGACTACAGGTGTGTGCCATTATACCCAGCTAATTTTTTGTATTTTTAGTAGAGACAGGGTTTTACTGAAGCCAGGATGGTCTCGAGCTCCTGACCTGGTGATCCATGATCCCCCTGCCTTGGCCTCCCAGAGTGATGTGATTACAGGAGTGAGCCACTGTGCCCGGCCCTGAGTATTCTCATAGGTGCTTTCTGCGATGAGGCACTGGGAGCCTTTGGGGAGGGATGTGATACAGGGAAGCCCGTGGCCTGGAGATTGGGGCTGGGTATTGTGCCTTCCCCTGGTTTCCTACAGGTCCGACTACAACCTCCCCAGCCAGCCCCTTCCTGAGCCTGCAGCTGGCAGGAGACAGAGACCAGGAACAGGGCCTGGGACAGCCTCCACTCAGGACTTTGCCCTCCCCCTCCCAGCTTCGTGGCTCCAAGGCTCACCGGGTTGGCCTACTGGGACGTGTCTCTACCTCAGCTTCTCAAAGCCTGGTCCAGTTGGAGGGAAATGTGGACAATAGGGAGGAGAAAGTGAAGCTGTCTGTGTCCGGCGTCCCAAGCTGTCTCCAGGCCTCTGTGGCCCATGAGGAGGGTGAGTGGCGGCTGGGTCCCAGCTCAGCTCACTGGGTCATGGCCCCCGTTGGCTCAAGAAAGGAGAGAGGTCTGGGCATTAAGATTTCAGAAGTCAGAACTGGGCCCAGGGGCTCACACCTGTAATCCCAGCACTTTGGGAGGCTGATAAAGGAGGATTGCTTGAGCTCAGGAGTTCGAGACCAGCTTGGGCAACACAGTGAGACTCCCATGTCTACTTAAAGCCTCGTGGGGTGGTGCGCTCCTGTGCCCCAGCTGCTGGGAGCAAGCTGTGATGTTGCCACTGCACTCCTGCTGCGGCGGCAATGAGACCCTGTGTCAGAAAAAAGGCTCAGGAAACCCCATCAGGATCACATGGCATCCCTCACTGACAGCCATGGCAGGTTGCTGGGAGAAGGGTACAGAAGAGGGGGCTTCAGGTGGCTCAGCAGGTTGAGGTGGTGCAGCTCCAAGTCCTCACGTTGCAGGGCTTTGGGACTTGGTGTGGGGCAGTAGGGAGCTATGGAAAGTGGTGGAGGAGTGGGCAGCTGGAAACATCAGGGTGCTCCAGCAGGTCCTCTTCTGGCTCCAGGGGGCAGAGAAGAGAGTGTGGTGCTGCGGGCATGTGCCGACCGGCGGACAGCGGAGGTGGAGGTCCTGTTCCGGGATGGCAGGCAGCCCTTCCAGCCCCTGGGCCGCCTGACCCTGCAGGCTGCCAACCACAGCCTCCTGCTGGCTGCACACGGCTGCGAGGGGCGCCTGCTGGGCCATGTGGAGGTAAGGGGGCCTGGGCTGGGCCACAAGGAACAGGTTACTGTTCTCTCTCTGGGCAGAAGCCACAGTGCCAGGAACCCCGAGCCCTTGGGGTCCATCTGTTCCCAGAAATCAGAGCACACAGTCCCAGGGTGAGGCCTGCACCTGTCGCTGGCACCAAGACCATTTGTCCATCTCATTCCTCTGCGGCCCCGAGGGAGTCCCAGCCTCTTCTCTGTCCTCACAGTCCAGGATTGCAGCAGTTGGCTCCCAGGTGCAAGCCCGGCTGGAAGAGAAGGTTCGAGGCTTGGGTGCCTCTGTGAGAAGGTTGCAGCACTTGGTGGGTAGCACAGAGGAGAGGGGTTGGGTGGAGAGCTCCCCCTCTGGACTGGCTTGTACCCCCACTTGCCAGGCATTCTGCCCTGGGCAGGAGGGTCTGGAGCTCTCTCTGCCCTGGACCTCACCCCGATTCTGCCTTGGCTTCCCTGCGCAGGTACAGCGGGGAGGCACCCTGAATGGCCTGGCAGGCTTCCTCCTACAGCTGTCCCAGGCAGGGCTAGAGGCCGTGCAAACAAGTGGTCGGGCGGTCACCACCTTGTGGGGCCACAGCCAGGCCTGGCAGGCATTGACACAGCACCTGCCTCTTTATCTGGACCGGCTGCAGGTGGGGCTGGAGCAGCTGCGGAACGAACTGGAATGTGAGTGTGGGAGGGAGGGCTCAACCCTGCACCAACATCCACGCCCAGTCAGGGGCCCTAAGCTCTCACATTGGCCTATGGCACTGTCAATCAGAACAGTGGCCTTGCTTCCTGCCGGCCTGCAGCCCAGCTCTATTGAGACCCACGCCTTCTTATAGACCTACAGCCTTGGGTTTTTGTTTTTGTTTTTTTAAACAGAGCGTCTGTTGCCCAAGCTGGAGTGCTGTGGCATGAATTTGGCTCACTGCAACCTCCACCTCCCGGGGAGAAGCGATTCCTGTCTCAGCCTCCCAAGTAGCTGGGACCACAGGCGCACGCCACCATGCCCAGCTAATTTTTCTATTTTTAGTAGAGATGAGGTTTCACCATATTGGCCAGGATGGTCTCGATCTCTTGACCTTGTGATCTGCCTGCCTTAGTCTCCCCAAAAGCTGGGATTATAGGTGTGAGCCACCGTGCCCGGGCAACCTCATTTTTTTCGTGGACTGCTGCCTCTTTTTTTTT